CCCTTGCAGAGGAAATCTTCTGACAATTTGATGTAAATGTCTTCATTTATGGCCCAGGCCATTCATTTTGCTTATATGCTTTCAGTTAAATACTGGATTTAGCTCTTACTTTCCATATGGAATTTTAATAAATCCACTATTCTCAGAGTAAAACAATAACTTTTTATTTTTCAACTTCAAGTCTGTATTTAATTAACCATTCAAGTAAATAAACACACAAAAATAGTAGGTAGCTGTTTGGGAGTCTTAAAAATTATTGCTTATGCCATGTATGTCCTCACAGGTTTTGAATTCTGGAAATAGTTCTAAGGTCACTTTTCTGGTTGCTAGATTCTACTACATGGCAAAATAAAGTGTGTGGATTTATTCACCTGGAATCTGCTTTTATTTCTGGTAGGGAGAAATCACAAATGTGTATTCTTCTGATCATGATCTTGCTCTCTGCTTTGTCCAGTTCCAGAATAATTTTCAATAGTCATAGTTAAGAGTAGGTTGATTCTAAAACATACACATTTTATCATATTTTATTCTCCGAAAGGTGACCACACAATCCATCAACAATTTGTTTCTGTTTTCCGGCCTCCTGGTACTACTAAAGAGCACAATGGCAAGGTCACTTAACTCTACTGAAATTTCTTGCCACACTCTGTAACTATGTCTTCTGCATTAATTAGTATTTTTCTTTAATTGAATCTGTATAACATTCCCACATTTGCAATCCATCATTTTTCACTGTTCTTTTCTCAGAATCCAAATATCTACATCCTTTGAATATCACTCACATGAGAAAACTAAAGTCACCTATGTGAACCTCATCAATTCCTCACTTTTTTATACTTGATCTTAGCCAAAAGGCCAAGAAGAGATTACTACTCACTTCACTTTAGAGAAAAACCATGTTTCTCTAAGTTCATCTGTTTCCTCTTTCTTCCTTTTCCTCAGAGGCTAACTCCTTGACGCTCTCCCACTTCCTCATCTGAGACCTTCCTCTGAAGACTATTCTGTTTTACCTTAGGCCTACATTCTCCCACCCTCTTACTAAGACACCCTATCCTTTAAACAACAAATCTTTCTTTGACTCTGCTTACACCTCAAATTTCCTTTCTGCAAGCTGTTTGAAAGCCTTGCTCTTTTCCTTTACCTAATTTTTAACTCCTAACAATTTCATCTTTGCCCTTACCACTTCACTGGAAATAACTCTCAAAAGTCACTGGTGTGTAATCTACTGGTAACTAAATCTTCCCTCTATCACCCAATACTTCTTGTAGCACTTGACAGAGTGTATCACACCATCTTTCTGGGAACCAGAATGAAGTCTTTCTAGAATTCTGAATAAAATCTCTTTTTTTCATGTCCTGTTTCTTTAACTGAAACTTTCTATGTGTTTTCTATCTGCAATCTTTCTTATCCAATAGCCTTATTATGGATATTCTACAAAGAATTTTTCCCTAATGCCCTCTCTTGATACTACCTTCTTTTAGATTTTCCTGTTTTAAACATCTTTTCCTGTGTGAATAGTTCCAGAAATCATTAATCCTAAATTGACCCTTGAATTTGCTGTTTTTGCTGGATATAGGTACTCACATTAAATTCTACTACTATAAAAAAACAGCTGGGCATGGGTGGCTCACACCTGTAATCCTAAGTACTCAGGGGCAGAGATCAGAAGGATCGTAGTTTGAAGCCAGTCAGGCAAATAGTTCATGAGACCTTATCTTGAAAAAGCCAACACAAAAAAAAAGGGCTGGTGGAGTGGCTCAAGGTGAAGGCCCTGTGTTCAAACCCTAGTACCTCAAAACAACAACAAAAAATTCTATTATTATGTCAAACCACACAGATCCAGAACAGAAACAGTGTTTTTCTCCTTCTCCAACTTGTCTTTCCTGATTCTCCTTGTCTATTAATGACATCATGATCTTCCTCATCACTAGAAGAAAATTGGTGGCATTTTCTTGGGTCCATGATTTTTTTACCACCAAAGTCATGGGTTCTCAGGCTTTCATAAGTGCTGCACAGTTGGTCCCATATTGCCAGACTAACTTTCTTAAAGCACAGTTATTTTTTCTCCCGATTAATAGTTTCCTATCATTTACAAAATAAAATACAGAACTTAACATGGCATTTGTGATTGTTCATGATATGACTGCACCCTATCTGTCTGATTCTGTTCTGATGTTTCTTCATTTTCTGTTCCTTCACCCCTTTCAGTCCTTTAAATTCTGCATTCTTCAAATGTTACCTTCTTAAGCCTCTCCCTGATCTTCACAACTGATGAAAACCTTTCTAACATCTAAATTTCTGTAATAATTTGCTTGCCTCAGCACATCAGCTTTATTTCACTTCATATTTGTATGGAATGCTTTTTTGCTATACTTTCACTTGAAACCTATCTGCCTCTTCATGTTCACAAAATGTGTTTCTTGTAAATAGCACATAGTTAAGTCTTAGATTTTTTTTAAAATCTAGGATTGGTAATCTGTATACTTTAATTGTGTTATTTAGCCCAATTATAGTTACTGCAATTGTCTATATGTTTGAACTTAAGTATACCACCTTGGAGTCTTAATTCTATTCACCACTCCCACCTTACTTTTGGGGGGGCAATCCTTTGTTTCTCCTTTCCTACTTTGGGAGTTGGTTAATTCATTATAGTTTTTCTAGTACTTTCTTTCCCCTATTGATTTTCAGTTGTCTCTTTGCATATCTGTGCATCTTTCACCCATCATATTCAAATTCAAAAAACTATCTCGAGAAAAATGTAAAAAAAAAATCTATGAATATCTATTTTCAATTTTTACTTCCCAATCTTTGTGCTTTTGTTGACCACTATTTGCTTTATACATATGTATCATAACTATGTCATTTGTTATTATTTTTCTTTACAAGTCCCAAAGTATAAAATATACAGTCATATTTACATATATAAAAATTAAGAATATGTTTATTTACTTATTTATGTATTTATTTACTTTTGCTATACTGGAGGTTAAACTCAGAGGTATGCACTTCCTAGGCAGGTGCTTTACCACTTGAGCCACATTCCCAGCCCTATCTGCTTTAGTCGTTTTTCTTTAAATAGAACTTGCATTTGTGCATGAGCCAGCCTCAACCGTGATCCCCTCTTACGCTCCCCATGTAGCTAGGATGACAGGTGCATGTCAACACACTTGTCTTTTTATTGGTTGAGATGGGGTCTTGTGAACTTTTGCCTGGGCTGGGTTACTGCGATTCTTTAAATCTCTACCTTCAGAACAGCTAGGATTGCAAGCATGAGCCACCACTCCTGGCTTCTCTCTTCACTAGAGAGAGAAGAGAGAACTCTTTTCTCTCTTCTCAGGAAGCTGGAACTTCCTGTATATTCACACATGCTATCTAACTTTCCTTCTAGATCTTTTAACATATTTAGTATAATTATTTTTAAATAATTATTTTAGGTTTTAATTAAAGTAAATATTGTAAAACCATGATAATATCAAAATCTAGGCACTCTCTGACTCTGGTAATATTTTAATTGTATCTGCAGGTCCTATTTTCTGTATTTATGGGTACATCTTGTAATTTTTTTTTTTTTTTTTTTGTAGAACCGGGGCTTGAGCTCAGAGTCTCACATTTGCTAGGCAGGTGCTCTACCACTTGAGCTACTCTGCCAGCCCTGCTTTGTAATTTTGACTGAATGCTTGATGAGTGTAAGAGAACAGTAGATGCTGAGGTAATATGCTCAAAAATGGACATTTGCCTCTTCTGCCAGGCTGTCACTATAAATGGCTACTTCAATTTTGTCTCTAATTTAGCAGGTTTGGGACCTCATCTTTGCTTTAGTTTTGTTTGACACACTACAGAAAGGCTTTAAATTGTTCTAGTGGTAAACTGCCTGCCTCATACTTAGTGTAGGAGCTGGATCTAAGGGATCCTCTCCACTCTCCTGTTGCATTCTTAGACTTCTGTAGACACTGCATACCCAAAACACTGAGGGAGTCTTCCTTAATGCTTCTCCCAATGCTCTATCATTACACCGCTATTATCTGGTACACAGTACCCAGCCTAGTTCTCCAGTTCTACCCTCAGACTTAGGTAGGCCAGTCTTCATGAGTTGGTGGAGGTTTTTCACTACTCCTACCTTTCCTCAGGGTTCCACTGTCACCTCCTGTAACTAGGTGCAAGACCTGGTGAGTGGAGAACTGTACATAGGCAGCCCCTGCATGCTTACTCTTTGGAAGGGTCCATACCTAGCTGCACACACGTGTCCCTGAGACAGACAGCTGTCATGTCACACTCACATAAAGTTTGGAGTTGAGGAAGTTTATTTGGTTATGCTAATTCTCTTCAAACCTAGGCAAGCCTTTAGTTCACTAGTTTACCTCACAACTTTGAGGCCAAATGGGCTTTAAAATTATGATTCTGTAGGCTGACTGCTTCTCATTGTTTAGGAAGGGTCATTGTTTTTGTGTCCCTTTATCTGCAAGACAGAAGTAAAAAATTGTTTCTTGCATATTGTACTTAATTGTCTCTTAGATTTGACCCCCTCTCAGAAAACAAGAAAACTAACAGTTTATTTGAGCAGTGACCCAGGATACCTCAGGAAAGGAATAGGAGGGAATGGAAGAGAAGGAAGTCTATACAGTGTGTGTGATGAACAGCTGTCTCTCTTGGGACTTCTGGAAACTGAGTCAGCCTTGGTGAAGAAGCTGGCTGTCACCCAACTCTCATCTGTGTGTGACTATCAGTCTTGCCTGTGGGCAAGACTATTAGAAGGCAATTAATCAATATTCATTAAATGGGCAGGTACATTTTATTCAGTAAGAATTCTGTTTGGGTCTTCTGTACTTCCTTCCAAATCAATATCCACTCAGATAACATAATTTGGTCTCTTAATTGCCAAAAAGGCTAAATTGGTTGGAATTTTTAAAAATCATATTGGTTTTCCAGTTGATTTGAATTACTATAATTTAAAAATAAATACCCAGATTTAAACCTTAACAGATATTTTATATTGTTCGCAGCCAACAATGATAAGGCGTCCACCAATGGTGGTTTGTTACATCTGTGGCCGTGAATATGGAACAAAATCTATTAGCATCCATGAACCACAGTGTCTGAAAAAATGGCACAATGAAAACAACTTGTTGCCTAAAGAGCTAAGGAGACCAGAACCCAAAAAGCCAGAAGTCAGGACCATTACTGGTAAGTTACTAGACTTGAGTACACGAGAGAAGACTTTTCTAATAACTTGTGAGTTGTTCAAACAACTGAAATCAGCAACATTTACTGCCTTGACTACAGCCAAATAGGAAAAACTATTCTGGAATGAATGCCTGTTCAGTGTTGCCTTCAGAAGCTGAGACGTAAGACATTATGTACTGGCAACAGTGTGCCTGAGAAGGACCGACTGGAATTGGCTGCATTTTCCAAAATTACTTTCATATATTATCAAGCATAATGCTTTAAGAAATGTGAAGCTTAAAAAAAAACCTTTGAGGACATCCAGAGTCTTGTTTTCAACTATGAATGTGTCTTGATGTTCCCAGGGCAGGAGTATCAAACTCAAATGCTTACAGGGTCCACTAGCCAGGCTACAAAATTGAATAAATTGGTCCATGTATGAAAGAAAAAGGAAGATAGGGACTGGTGAGCTGGAAAGCACCAGCTCCCATAAAGGAGATGGCTGCATGTTAGTACTAGCAGGTGTTATTATTAAGAAATTTAGCAAGTACATCTTTCAATAATAGAAAATGAAAGTGGAAATCTAGACATCTGTATGAAATGTACATATTTAAGAAAATTTTCAATCAATAAAACACTGTGCAAATCAAATGGAACTGGAAGGAATTAGGTTTGTCACATAGGACTTTGTCACAGTGTCTTATGCTTACTTATTTAGAGTGCAAAAATAGTTAAGAGAATATTTTTGCCAGGCAAGCTCAGATTCACTTAAACTTCTATCATTGACATTTCTCAGTTGATTTCCTCCCCATTTCCAAGGTGATTTTTTATTTTAAGAGGAGTATCTTTCAGCTCATCCATTCTCCTTATGTAACCGTAGTTACCATGCAGGTCATTTAATATAAATTAGTCCAAAGCATTCTTCCTAAAGATGGGAACAAGGTGAGCTTACAACAGATGCAGAATTCAGATTGTCATAATAATATTCTAGATGCTGTTAGAACCTAAATATTTACAGGAGGACTTTGCATGCAGGTGGGAAAAGAACTCACCTATTGAGGTTAGGGTACACAGAGAGAGTGCTTGCCTCATTGCATTCTCAGTTGGCGCTCCAAATCTGTCTTCTTTCCTCCTGACCTTTTGCCACTTTTTCTCTTTGGCCATAATTATCCCAAGGCTAGAAGTGAGAGAAATGACTGATTTCAAAGGCCTGGTGGGCTCAGGCACAAAAGGTGGATCCTGTAACTGCACTGCCCTACAGTTTCTTTCTTGGTCTCACGCTATGCTTCTCTCTGAAGGTACCTTCCTTCTCTGGGTAGACAGAATCCACATCACCACTCCCTTTCCTTGGAGTCGGTATAGTCATTGAGTTCAAAGCAAAGCCTTATGCAAAAACATTTAGAAGTGTAATGAATCACCTTCATGTGAGAATTAGTGACTCCCAGAGAACTTTTGAATCTGTATTAGAACTCATCTGAGTAATGATAAAGTCAGTGCCATTCTTTTTCCAACCACGCTTTCAAAGCACTTAAAACACATGTTCATAACCTGTAAAAAGTGATATTTGCTGTATCCAAAGGAGAAATACTAGGTTGTGCAGGGCTTTAAATTCCCATGAAGAGAAAAGAAAAGAACTTTAAAAGCAGGCATGTTAAGAATCTGAGGTTTGTTATGGTTTTGTGAAGCATTAGATAGAAATCATATGAGGATCGTTTAGGCTTCAATGAAGTGATATACACTGTGCCAATGATAAAAACTAAGCAATACAGTTTTGAGTGCCTCCTGACATTTTCAGGGGCCTATTTTGGACCATTCTAAGACATAGTCAATTTAATGTACTAAAGTCATTCTTTTAAATGAGGCTTATTAAAGCTAAATTCCACATTGTTTCTCTAAAATAAAGCCATATGGCTTTTTTCCCTATGCTCGGCCAATGAAGATTACACACTTCTCAGCTGTCTGTTTTGTTTTCTTAAGGACTCTTCTTTTCATCAGATTAACTATTTTGTTTGCATTCTTCACTTTAATTACTTAAAGAATCTCCATGTCTGTAGCCATGAAGAGGTGATAAATTTTTAGGAGATAATTCATCTTAAATTTGCTCTCAACTGTCAGTTCTGGCCTCTACACACATTTCACTGAAGGATTGCAGAAGAGGAAAATACAAATACATTCATTCCCTATTGTAAGCTTATATTTAAGTCAACTGAAAGAAAGCCAAAAGTTATATTTGAAAGATAATAATGTGTAAGCAAAGGTATTAATAATTGGTGAAGAGTGCATATCATAACACATAAAACAATGTCTTTCCTTTTTAAAGTTCAAAAAGTAAAAAGCCTCTGATTCCATAGTTGACTCCACTCTTAAGAGTCAGGAGCTCTTTTTATTCATTTATTTATTTACTTTTGGCCAAAGTCATATGATTTATTTAAAAACTTCAGTCAACAGGTATTTCCTGAAAATATTTTCCAAGAAAAGTAGATTATGGCTCTCCAGAATGAAAACTAATCTATTCTTATTTTCCTTCTTTTTTCCCCTCTGTCTCTCTCTCTCTCTCCTTTTTTTTTTTTAACTCTCCAGCCAAAGGGTTCTATGATCTGGATGCCTTAAATGAAGCTGCTTGGACAAGTGCCCAGAGCCAGCTGGTTCCCTGCAGTATTTGTGGGCGTACCTTCCTGCCAGACAGACTGATTGTTCACCAGCGATCTTGTAAACCTAAGGCCACCAAGTAAAGCCCTTTTCTCTCCACTGCAGTGTTACAGGAATGAATCTCTTTGAAAGAGATTGGGATGCAGTGGGAAGGAGCAAAAGGAGGTGGGGGGCAGAATGAGGAAAACTGGAAATTGACTGAGAGCTGGCCTGGCTTGGAAGGCCAGTTCAGTGCTTTGGTGGTGGGAATGTTTGCCACCATTATGGAGGGCACATGCCCAGGTGTTAATAAGCAGCTGCATGTTCATAGGCATACCTGGGACTTTTTCACACATTTGTCAGGCAGGATTACAAGTGGCTGCTTCTTATCAGAGCTGGAATTTTTGTCTAAAGGAAATTTCTGAGCCAATTGTTGCCAATTTTCTTCCATTCTCCTTTCTTAAACATGACTTTCCACCTCACAATTAGGACTATTTTTCAGTGAACAGAAGCCTTGGGAGCAACATGAGGCACTCTTCAGTCTTAGGGAGAACTGGAGTTCTTCCTAGCTAGGGTGCTTTCTGACTTACTGATTGATTGAGAAGTTTCTATCTTCTGTAAGATCAAAAAAGACATTTTTTTAAAAAGCTGAGGACTTAAAGTACTGGAACCATATCTAACTCATACTCCCTTTCTGTTCCTAGCCAGTGCCAGCCCCATGTGTCAAGAGACTGCTTCACTTATCAGGTGTCTCCTACAGGAGACACCTACATGGGGAGTTCTTGCCCTCATATTGGTTTATAGGTGATCGTTGAGGTCTAAAAGCCTGCCAGCAAGTTCTGTGCTTCCCCACCCAAGGCCCAGGCACAGTAAGTGGCTTGTGAAAGTTCTCTGAATGTGTATTCATCTAGGTGGGGCTCTCCTGGGAGGAGGCCAGGGCCAGGGAGGTGCCCTGCCCAGGAAATTCTGCTCCCCCAGGCAGCATGGCTTGCTTGAGATCTTTGTTCATTTTTTGGCTGAATTTCAGGGCCATGCTAGATCCACTGGATTACTGCAAGCCTTATACCCATGACCTTAACAGCAGAGTCAGCTCAAAATTATACAGGCAAATTCATTCAACCTAATATTTTGGTCATACATCTACTTATTATCCAGGGTTGGGTTAGGATAATTGTGCTAGTCATTCTGTTTTTCCTGCCTGCTCCACAGGAAGAGATGAACTTTTTTAAAAGTCTGCAGATACCCTCAAAAAGAATCTTATGAAAGACAAGGCATTTAATGAATCATAGTAGATGGCTTAGTTCTTTTATCTTGTTAACCAAAATGATGGCAGCATCTACAGATATTGAGTGTATGTATGTGGGGCAGACTCTGTGCGAAGTGCTTTATGCATCAGTCTATATACATCTCACACTGACCCTATAAGTAGATATAACTATCCTTATGTTACAGATCAGGAAATTGACACTCAAATTAAACATACAGCTAAAGATGACCCTAAGCTTGATTTGAGGGACAGAGTAGGGAAGCCAACTCAGAACTGTTGGGCTTTCAAGCCCACAATCATATCTGTTGCTGTTTATGATAGATAACATCATTAATAAAATTTGTCATACTAAAATAAATGATCAAACAACTATGAAAATTCTTACACAATGTCTAGCATGCTTATGATTCTGCTGCTGCGTTGGATTTATCTTAGACTGAGGTGAAAAACAAAAATTTGAACTGCATGTATTTGGGGTTTCAAAAGATACTTCTCCAGTTTTTAATGTTCCAAAATAAGCTACCAGGGAGATATAGCAAAAGTTCTGGCCTTGACTTTGAAATGAGTTGACACTGGAAGCCATGAAGAGATTCATGGGTGTGACAAAACAACAGCAAAGAGACTTTGTATGTATTGAGTCTGTGAGTTCATAAAGTGGTTGAAAAAGACAGGCTTTCCCAGGAATCATCACATGTGAATGGTTTGAAATCCATCAACAGCTCCACCTCAGCTGTCCCTCAGTTTCATGTAATTAAATGTTGGACAAAGTCTGTTGTAATGACATCGACCCAAGAGTTCTGGTCCACTATCAAAAGCAAGTCATCAAAGTCTCACCATTAATAGGAATGAGCTACCTGTGATCTGCCCACTGCCCTCCCCTCAATGAGTTCACATCTGTGCTGATTTGTATAATTTCATTATAACATTATATTTGGGATGTAATGTTATAAACACAACAACGATGCAACTCCCTCTCTACTCTGTTACCTAGTGCCATACAAACCTCAGTTGAATTCTCCTCTAGCTGAGGTTATGGGAAGACTTCCAGGGTTTCTTCATGCTCATTTGCACATTGAATTCAATCAAAGTTTCAGGATATATCCTACCCAAAGGGCACTGATTAAGCACATTCTAATGAGGATATGTAGTGGAGGACATATTTAATATGCATTAAATCTTTCCGATCCGTTAGGAGGCTCTTTGGACAGTTTCATCATAGCATTTTTATCCCAAGTATAACAAGGGACGTCTTAAGGATAACATCCTGTTACAATTGCTTTGGTTGAGATAAAACTGCTCTGAATCCCTTTATTGAAAAAGGTGCTGTTGACAATCCGAGTTATTTGTAAACAAGAGACAGAGAACAGATATCCCAAGTCCTCACCCTCTGAAAATCTGAAAACAGCCCCTGGTCTTTCTGTATTTGCCTGCATTGACATTATCTGCATTTCTTCTGTAAACTCCTGTCTAAAACCAACGTGTACAGCTTGAATCCCTTATCATGTCGGGGCAGGAAGCTCAGCCCTTTCCTTCCCCACTCCTGAGAGGTCCCTTCCCTTCTCTGGCAATGCTCCACCTTCCCTTATCACTGCTGACTTATACTGATTCTCTGGCTGGCCCACACAAATGGCTGTACTCATTTCTACTGGCCCTGCCCACTCTTTATGGCACGAGGTAAAAATGAGGTTTTCCTGCACTTGGAAGAAACAGCACAAATGAAAAGCAGTAAAGTTTCCAGCAGAGGCCAAATTGGGTGGTGTATAGCGAACATACACCAGGAAAAACACTGCTAAATTATCAGGATGGTAAACCTTTATTAGTTCTTTTAAAATTGTGCTACAAAAATATTCAAATAGATACACTTAAAGAGAAATGAAAAATGAAGCGTCTTGTCCTCCACATTCAGGTAGACTTAGTTCTTGACACTGCACTAAGGTTACATTTGAATGACTTAAATTCCAGTTTTTATTCTTTTGGATTGAAAGGAAAATGGATTTGTCAGGGAGAGGTACTGAAAGCCCAAGATCCTACTGTGTCTCTGACAAACCCTTTTATGGAATCAGGAGATTAAGCTAGCATGAATATAAGTTAAACTGCAAGTGATAGAGAACAGGCCAAGGCTTCATAGAGCCAGGTTCTATCACTGATTCACACTGATCACCCTATAGGACAAGATGTCCTATTTCAGATGTCTCTTAGTTAGCTGAAAATGGTTACTCAAAATAATGGTCCCCAATAATACTGATACCCTACTCTCCAAAACCTACCAATATGTTTGCTTAGATGGTGACAGAGACTTTGCAGGTGTGATTAAGTCTATGGACCATAAGAAGGAAATACTATACTGATGGGACCAATTTAATTACATGAGTCCCTAAAAATAGAAAAGAAAGAAAGAATTAAGGGGATGGGTGACAGAGACAACAGCATAAGAAAGAGTTTAATACCACATTACTAGCTCTGAAATGAGGGGAGCCAGGTGCAAGAGTCAAGAGATGCCTGTGGGTTCTCAGGGTGGCCCCCAGCTGATAACTAGCAAAGACACTGAAGCCTCAGTCCTACTTCCACATGGACCTGAATCCTCCAACAATACGAATGTGCAAGGAAATGGATCCTCTGCCCAGCCTCCAACTGGAATGCAGCCCTAGCTACACTCTCTTACCAGGTGAGTCTGAGCTTGAGCTGCTAATACTACAGAACTACAAGAATATCTGTGACCCTAAGTCACTATGTTTGTGGTAATTTGTGATGTTAAAACAGACAACTTAGCACAAAACATCCACATGACATGGGTAGAACAAAAGGCATCTGTTGATCAGAGAGGAGGAGCTTTCACATACGTAAAGGACACTGGCTCCCTCCCCTGCTTGCTTTAGTGAAAGGCAACTAGACACATCCTTATTGGGGTAGAGATCTTAAAACTATCCAATCTCTTCTCCCGGTGAACACACATCTCTTTTGCAATATATATACATATACATTCATATATATATGTATACATACATATATATATATATATATGAATTCTAGGTGCAGATTATTTTTCATGTTTTATTAAGAAAAGTACTGTCCTTGATGCTCTTAACCATAAAATTGATTTTGTCATATGTATGTACTTATTTTATAAATATTAAAAGGATGAATACATTTGGTAATTGACTTTTGGCATCAGTAGCCCAATGGTCTTGCTCTCTTCATCTGCCTATGCTGGAAGTCATATTCCTTTCCATGAGCTGCAGAAGGAAAAGAATGTAATCTGAAATGGTAGACGGTTATTATACTTCTCAATACGGGACAAAAAAAATGACCAAAACATCCACACTCTGAAAGTGCAGATTTGTTTTAAAAACCCCAAAAGTTATCTTATGATTTTTGCCAGGGCTTTCCTGAGCAGTTCAAGTATAGGAAAAGGTGGTCCCTGGTTTACCTCAGTGCTTCCATCTCCCCTTTGAAACCATGCCCTCTGCACCCTCTTCAAAGTGTCTCCTTCTATCCCCACTTCCACTTGTACCCACCACTGCCCAGACTTTTTTCCTGTTGGAGCAAAATCTTCCACCATCTCTCAATGTCCCACCATCTCCCCTAATCTGCCCTTCCACATTTTACTGCCCATGTCCCCCTCTTAACTTTTCACAAGATACTTCAATGGAAACAACTCTGAGACTTTCATCTTTGCTAAGGAGTTCACTGACGATCATGGTTGAATGCATGAATGACACACTTTCAGGTAACAGAGTTACTCAAAAAGAAGATTCCAACAAGTATGTCTTTATCCAAAACAATGAGATCCATGTAGCCAAATTTTAGACAAGTATTGAAATGGATGTCATGAAAACATGGGAAGTGGGG